TGAACAGAGCAGTGCATGGGGATGGCGGCACACACAGGCCTCTGAGAGTCTTTAGCAGAAGAACCGCATACACTCCTGTTCTGTCTTTTGGTGTGCAAACCCACCTTGCTTCCCCAGTTAGCCAAACTGTTTGCATTTACTGTCTTCGAGCTTTCCAAAGGCAAATGCTCTGTGGTCTTCTTAGGGGATATAATATTAGCATAAATTGTTATTGTTCCTGCAATAAATAGCAATCACTTAAGGACACATCCCCGGTTCCAGGAAAGCTAATTAAAAACATCAGAAGCAGAAACCCATGAATGAAGCTTGGGTACTTTCCATGTGATGGTGGATATGGAATGAGACGGGGGAATCAACAGGTTTCCAGGCTGGGTCACTGGATCTGTAGGAATGAGAGAGAGAATAGAGGAAAGAGAGGTTTTGGGATGAAGATACTATTTTTTACTTTGGTTAAGGTGCTCTTGAGGTTGGTCAGGAGATGCAGCTGGGAAGCCCTCAGAGGCAGCAAGAAAGATGATGTTTACACGAGGGAGATTAAACTTTATATGTAGGTGGTGGAGCAAAGGTGGTGGAGACTGGATGCAACACATGTTCCTTGGGAGGGCTAGGATGAAGACTAGGATGAAGGGAGAGCTGAGGATGCAATCTAGGGGATCACTGATGTCTGCAGGGTTGGAGAGGAGCAGGTGGAGATGGAGAGAAAATGGGCATTCAGGTGGAAGGAGAGAACTATATCAAAGAATGAAGAAGAGGAGAGCCGAGCCCATCAGACGCTTGACAAAAGACCAGTAGGATGAGCAGCAAGAAGAAACCATTGGATCGAGCAGCTGGGAGGCTCCAGCCCCCGGGGTCTCAGACCACCTGGTTCCGGTCACGTGGTGGTGCAGAGAAGCCAGAAAGCAGGCCTGGGTGCCAGGCAGGAGCAGGCTGCTCACAGATAGTCATTTCAAGATAACAGGTGCCATCCAGGCTGGCTGGAAGGCTCTACCCTTCCCTTCCATTTCAAAGCACAATGCTGTATTTCATATCTGGGAGAACACAACCTGCTTTAACCTCTTTGTATTTTTAAAACTTTGTTAACTCCGCCCCTGCTTGTGTTCCTAGGAATGTATTTCCTTGGTTGTTGGAAGGTCTTAAGTGCTCTCAGGTAATTTTTCTTGCTGCCTTCCTTCCTGCCACTAGCCGTGTCCTAGCCTGATTTCCCTCCCTGCCTGCTTCTGTCACACACACACACCCCACTTTGTAATCACACGGAAAGTGCTCAAGCCTCATTCATGTGTTTCTGCTTCTGATATTTCCTGGAACAGAGGATGTGTCTTATTAAAGTGACTGCTATTTATTGCAAGAACAGTAACAAATTATGCTAATCTTATATCCCCTAAGAAGACCAGAGAGCTTTGTCTTTGGAGAGTTTGAAGAAGGTAAATGCTCATTGTTTGACTAACTGAGGAAGTGAGGTGGGTTTGCACACCAGAGGGCAGCTCACCGGAAGGCAGGGCCTGACCCTCCAATACTGCCCCTTGCATGCTTGCAAGCCGGGCTCACTCCCTGCCAGCTGCACGTAGGGTGTTGACAAGGACCTTGGAGGGGCCTAAGCTTTCTTTTCTGACCCCTACTACCTATATGACTGGACCTGATCATCTTCATCTGTGACATGGAGGTGATGGTAACTTCCAGCTAACTCTTGGGCTGCTATAAGAGTTGGGTTAGTTGGTATATGCTGGAGCACTTTGTAAATGTCAGGTGGCACACAACCTCTGGTTCCCTACAATTAGTCACAAAGTTTCTTTCTCTTTTAGGGAGGTAATGACTGAAAAGATCTCTCAGACTTTTCCAGTGTGTCCATCTCCAGGTGATGCCATTGAGTGAAAACCAGGCAGACTTTTGATTTTTAAATTACTTTTATTTTTTATGGTAGTACAATATGTGATACACAGTTTTAGCCATTTTTAGGTACACAGTTCAGTGGCATTCACTACATTCGCATTGTTGTGCAACCATCACCACCATCCATCTCTAGATCTCTGTCTCTTGCAAAACTGAAGCCCTGTACACACTGCACACTCACTCCCCCTTCCCTGGCACCCAACGTTCTGCTTTCTGCCTGTGACTTTGCCTGCTCCGAGACCCTCATATGAGTGGAATCATACGGTATTTGTCCTTTTGGTTCTGGCCTGTTGCATTTAGTGTACTGTTGTCAGGGTTCATCTGTGTTATAACATATCAGAATTCCTTTTTATGTCTGAATAATACTCCATTGTATGTCTGCACTACATTTTCTTTATCTTCTCATCCATCGATGCATGTTTTGGTTGTTTTCGCCACCTTTTGGCTATTGTAAATCATGTTGCTGTGAACATGGATGGTCAAACCCCTGAGTCCCTGTCATAGATTCTTCTGGGGGTTTACCTGGAAGTGGAATTGGAGGCTGATCCCCAGTCTGAGACAGCGGGGCTATGACCTGACATAGTGATTCTGCTCAGTAACTGCTGATGGAGAGCCCTGAAATCAGGAGAGGGCACCCTTGGCCATCTGGGGCCTGCCCTGCCCCCTTCACAGGGGCTGCATTGTCAAGCCCCCAACTGCTTAGGTCATAGAACCCTTTACATATCTGTGTCTCATTGTCCTGCCCCCCTCACGGGGTCACAGATTCTCATCCCTCCCCAAGTCAGGGACAAGGCAGAGAAGCCCTTGATCGAGGACACCACTGCCTCCCCTTTACCTCAGCTTCCTGCAGCAGCCCACCAGCTCCAGCTCCCAGGAGATCTCCAGGGCCCTCCCCATTCTCTCATGGGTCACAGGGTGGATCCCCCAGAAACCTCAGCTGCCACTCTGTTCTCCAGGGAGGGCGTGATCCACAGGACAGAGAAGCACATTTCTCGTATGGGCTCCCGGTCACTGAGGCTGGGCCAGGTACCCACTGTGTGGGCCATTGTCTTTTATTATCCATGCAGGTTCTGAAGAGGAAGGAGATTGGGTGGATGTAAGGGGGACAGCTTAGGAGTCTGCTGGCAGCTCCCAGCTCCAGCCTGGCAGCCTAGTCGCTATGGCTAACATGCTTCTCTACCTTCTGGAAAATCCAACAGAATCAGGAGAGAAACTTCAAAATCAGGGACCCGAATGGGAAAAAGGGAGACAGAAAGTGAGTGCATGGGATCCCTGGCATCATCACCGTGATGCTAGTATCCTCGTCTTTCCTCCCTGGTTTTTCTTATCTGTAGCAGTTCTTGCTTTGCCTCCTAGAGGACAGCAAAAGAGACCATGCACACAGACGTCCACAGTTTCTTCTCCTATGACCCGCCCTGTGAGGTGAATCTGCCCGTCTGTCCCTGAGATGGGAGAGGGATTCCCTGACGTTGTTAGAAATTGGTTTTCTTGGGCACAACTCATTGCAGTCAGCAAATGTCATCAGGAATGTCTAATTCCATATATCACTCTGTGGTAGTCTGTGGTAGGTTTTTACATGCTTACATTTCATAGCTGCTGTTCTGGCTGGTTCTAGAAGATTTGTGTATATGGGAAGCATGTGTTGCCATGAGGGGGAAATCCTACTTGGCCAATAATTTTTGGATTTGGCTGGAAGATCTCTGACATTTTCCATGTGGTTCTTTTGTGAATGCCCATCTTCTGCCCCTCAGGCTTATGTGATTAGGTACAGAGCTTGAAGGTAGACAGACTTCCCTCACAAGACTTCATGTTCCAGTAGGAACATGAACCTGAAGACTCATAGTTAATTGCACTAAGGGAAATGAATTTCTCTCACCAGAAAGGATTTAAAACATATATATTTGTCTTCCTTGGGCCAGTGACAAATACCTCTCCTTGTCAGATGGGCAGGCAGAGGAAGAGAAGAGTGGGTCCTCCTTGCTGAGGCCTCTCTTTGATGCCACTGAGGAACCAGTGTTGGGATGACATTGGCCTTTCTAGTGGCTTCTCTTGAGGCAGGAGGGTGTGTCTCTAATCATAACTGTGTGGAGGCCATGCTTAGTGTTTCTCTGAGGAAATAAGAGTTGCTCCTGGAAGTCTGGGGACAGAGAATGACTCGGTGGGTCTTGGCTTTCCGTGGCCCGTGTGCACAGAGCCATAGTTGCTGAGATAGGAGTGGACAGTGGAGGAGGAGCCTATTTTTGTTTCTGAGTCATCAGGCAAGTTTTGTCCCTAGCCTAAACTGGTACCTGGATACTACCTGCTGGCCAATAGAGGAGGGGGCAGGATGGAGGGACAAGGAGGCCACTGAGGTGCTGGCTCCAGGGCTCACCGACCACAAGACTCTCTGGAGAAACAGGCTCTCTGGCTCTGAATGTCCTGGTTACATACATTATTGCTCTGCCCTCAAAGAGTTAAATTTATATTTCTAGGCAACAGAGTTCCCCACTTAGGACGTCATATATATTCTGTTTGTTTATTTGGTTTCAAAAAACAGCAAGCAGCGTTTTGAAGACAAGCATGCCCCTACCAATTAATTAACCCCATGTCAGTACCATATGTTGCACCAACTCACATTTAAATTATATTCTTACCTATCTGTGAGAATTAATTAAATGTTTGTGAAGTGCTCTGAAGTTTTCAAGGATAAAAGGGTCTGTGTGGAACCTAGACGTGTTAGTTTTACTCTCTCATCTGCTTTGGGGTGGGGGAACTGACAATCTCAGATGGACACCACCTTTCTCTGTGGGAACCCTTCTGGGAGCTCCCAGTTGGCTCCAGTGTGACTTCTACAGTGGTGTTCTGCAGGGTGGCAGGTGGCACTGGGAGTTGGCCAGACCCATGTGGACACCAACATGGCCCTTTGCATGAGGGCACATTTGCGTGTGTGCACTTCTTTGCATAAATAAGTATGGCAGGGAGAGATGCTGGATAAAAAAAACAACTGTCATACTGGTGTTTGTTCATGTGATTATTGCTCAAACTGTGGTAGTGGAATAGGAGGAGCCATTATGGACTCCTGAATGTAAATTGCTGAATATAAGCCACTTCTTTTTCTCTCTCTTTGTCCACAGTGGAGCATTTTCTGAAGTGGTCTTAGCCGAAGAGAAGGCAACTGGAAAACTCTTTGCAGTGAAGTGCATTCCTAAGAAGGCGCTGAAGGGCAAAGAAAGCAGCATAGAGAATGAGATAGCGGTTCTGAGAAGGTAAGTACCAGTGGGATGGACCTCCTTCCCTGGCTGACTTTGGATAATCAGGGCCCTGATCCAAGGGAAGCAGAAGTCTAGAGGAGCCACCCAAAAAGTGATCGCTCACTAGTGTGGTGTCCAGCTTGCTGCTCACATCATCACGATCGAGCTGTTCCACCACTCCTCAAAGTGTTTAGGGGAGCAGACACTTATATGGCACCTGCTTTTGTGTGTTCAGAGCATATCTGAGCACTGTGTTATAAAAAAAATTAAAAGCTTCTATTAATAAAGAATATTAGAAATAGCCTTGAAATTTTGGGGATTTGGGGTCAGTCCATAGCAAGACTTGTACGGGTAAGCAAAGCAGAATGGCAACAAGCCTTGTAGGGCCACAAAACAAAATGTCACAGCCCCACATTCTTCCTGAGTAACCTTCCTCTCCCCCTCGTCCCTGCCTGGGACCACCAGAGCCTGTCAGTGAGGCCTCACTGCCATCAGGACAGACCCAGGGTCGCCAAGGGGGTCAGGGGGGCCTGTCCTGTCGGGCAGCATGTGTGATACGTGTCCCAGAGCAAATGGGTCTTGATAGCTTTTCAGTGTAAGGGTTTCCGCTTATTTGTTTCATTGTTTGGCTGGTTTCTAGGTTCCCTGGGTTGTCTATTAGGGACCAAAAGAGTTTCAGATGGATCTGTGGTGGATTGCATGAAATAATTCTGTGGAAGAGAATTTGGGAAAACAAATTACTATAAGTACATTAGCATCAAGCATAAAAACACCATGTTAATGAAATACTTATTTAAATTGCTCATTTTCCAAGATGAAATCACTTGGAAAAGAGAGTATTTGCTTGGTGTTAAGTTGCAGCCACTTTGCAGGTATTTGACATTTCAGATGGGGTCCTGGGTGGGCCCAGAGCCTTCCAGAGGCTCCACCTGGGCACAGGGGTGGTGATGTGAGAACAGTGCCTTGGGTTCCATGTGACTCCCTCATAGGCCTAGAGGCCACAAAGCTGGGGATGTCCGTGTTTGCACTGTGTTATTTTCCGTCTATCTACACGGGCGGGGGACATGGATGTAGACTTCATAAGCGAGTCTTGGTTTATGCCATGGTCATTTTGATTTAATTCGTTTCTTCACCCTGTGCTCAACTCAGTAACCACTTCCGGGGAAGAGGCATTTAAAAGCAGGGAGGGCCAGGAATCTGGAATAATTCATTTTGATAGTTTCTCACTATGAGCTGCTGGAGTGCCTCAAAGCGTGACCCTTTTTCTGAGAAAAAAAGAACAAAGAAACAATTTCTCATGGGATGAGAAGGTGACATATCTCCTGGGCTGATTTATTTTTTGGGCCTCTGCAAATGATTTACAAGTAGAGTAAGAGGCGGTTCCATATCATAAGCTGTTGAAAGCAAAGTATATGAGTTGCAAAGAAAATAGTTTTGGAACCACAGTTAAAATGCTGTCACTGAAACATTCATTCATGTACCCAATATTTATTAAATTCCTCTGCATCAGGCAGCACTGGTAGGCATTGAGGTTGAAAAGATACGGTAGAATTCTCACCCTCCAGGCGCTCCCAGCTATGTTAGTAAGCAAGTGCAGTAACATGGTAGATGCTTTGAGAGACGTCTGACCGGGGGTTCAGGGTAGGGCGGCCCCTTCTTCTTTTGGGGTGGGGAGTGAGGAAAGGTTTCCTGGAGGAGGTAGGGCCAGACAATGAGTATGTTTTGCTGAGGGCAGAAAGGTGGAGGGACAGTCCAGCTAGAAGGAGCAGCCCGAACAGGCATAAGGAGATAGGAGGCAGGCTGGGGTGCTGGGACCTCCACCTGGCTCATCTGACTGGGACAGAGGGTTCAGGGTAGGGCGTGGGAGACATGAGATTGGAGAGGTCGGGTTGTGGGGGGTTGTACACCCCACTTCATCCTGCAGACAGTGGGGAGCCATTGAAGGGTTTTAATGGAAGGAGCAATGTGATCAGGATTGTCTCATAAAGGTGGCAGAATTTAGGAGAATAGTTTAGAGGGGGCAAGACTCAATGCAGGGGAGCAGTTAAGAGGTCACTGGAGGGGTCTGGGAAGCAGAGCATTAAAACGGGCTGTGGGTTGAGATGGAAGAGACCAATAGCGTGTTCGCAACATGGAATCTCTAGCACTTTGGGATTTTTAAGGAGTGCGGAGAGGTTTGAGGGGAGATAGATAACTACTAGGCTTCCGATTGGATAAGTAAGTGGGTGACAACCTCATTCCCTGAGATAAAAATACAAGAACAGGAGGGCAGGTGATGAGTTCTGAAGCAGGCTTGCTGTGTTTGGGGTCTTGGGAACGGCTTGATGGAGATGGCCTGCTGACTCCATCTGAGTCTGAAGCACAGCTGTGATCTGGGCTTGCTGGATGTCAGAGTTTTCTGAAACAACATATTCAAACAAAACTCTTGGTACTTTCCATCCTTAAATCATTGTAGACAGGGTCTCACAGAGACCAGCTTTATTCCAAATTCTTGCATGTGCCCTGCTCATGTAGGTGTTTGCACTCTCTCCTCCATCCCAGCAGGCCCATCTGAGAGACTGCATGCCCTCGCATGTGCTGGGCTTAGTGCAGGGTGAGAGATTTATGTATTTCATTGGACTGAAGTATTGTAGATAGTATATCCTTAAAGAGTCTTTATACTTGCTCTGAAAATAGTTCTGAAATGAATTTTCTACTTGATAAGTAGATATTAAACGTAGCTCAGAGGGAATAAAAAGTGGCAAGCGTCACGGTGGGTGGTTGCTAGGCAGCAGAGAGCTGCTGGTCTGACTCTGGCTTTCAGGGGACAGATCTGTGAGATTCAGCGCGAGCCTTACCCCACCCTGGTCCTACGGATGGAGTCTTTTGTTATTACAGAATATCCCATCATCAGTGTTATAGACCCCAGGTGGATTATAGAGCTTATAGTTTTTGTGATGTTATTTACTTACAGGGCAGACACTTCCCAAATCTAATTTCAAGGCAACACATAAAATATTTTTGGAGAAGTAGAAAAGCAGATATAGAAACAGTCTGCATTGATGTAAGAGAGGAAGAGAGAAGGAGACATGTAAAGATGGAAAATGGGAGAAGCAAAACCACCGTATCTAAAGTAGCCTTTTCCTAATAGTTGGATAAACTGAGGCTCAGCCTGGTTAGAGGCACTGTCTGCATGAACTGCAGCACCACAATTCAGCATGCTTTTCTCCTGGTTACATTGTGGAGTCCAAGCTTGGGGAAGGGGCCTGGGTAGGAGCTTCTGTTAAATTGTGTGTTCTTTATCTGAGGACACTGGGGAGTTTCAGCTGATGGCTTCTGCTTTTTTCCCTCTAAATCAGTGGTTCTCAGCCCTGGTTGCACATTAAAATCACCTGGAATGCTTTCTGGACCATCCTGATGCCAGATGAATTAGATCCTAGACCAACTGAGGGAGAATTGCAGGTTATGATGGGCACTGGAAGGTTTTATGCACCCACCCCGAGATTGTACTGCGCGGCCAACTCAGTGTTGAGAATAACTGTTCCAGGGCCCTTGCCTCCTGTCCCACGTTGGGGCTGAAGATGCGCTTTCTGCGTCAGGAGTATGGAGAGATGTGGACACACAGAAACACACCAGACAGTGCCTCCTTTGGGACAGGTTGCATTGGGATGAGCAAACTTGAATGTGGTCCATTTTGAAGAGCTGGGCTTCATCATGAGAGAGGGGAATGGACTTGAGCCCATCGTCCTGTCAGTGGGGAGCAGGCACCAGCTTCTGGCCAGGTTCAAGAGCGAGAACCTGGCTCTTTGGGGTGGCAGGTGTGGCAGAAATGGCCATTCTTGGCCCAGACAGGCTGGTATAGGGATTGGTCAGCTCAGCTCAACTCCGTGACGAGCGCACAGTCAGAAAAGGGCAGGGCTTCTAAAGGCAGTGGACGCCAAGCCCCAGCCCTCCCTGAGGCCAAGGACAGGGTGGATCGTGGGGAGCACGTGGGGCTGGGCCTTTTGGAGGGATGGTGTGTCAGCACCTTAACCAGGCCACAGCGGGATTCCACAGGCCCCAGGTCCTCCTTGCAGTAGCTTGACTCTCTGGTTCTTAGACCAGTTGTGTCTCTCTCCATGCAGACTAACTGGAGGAGCAGCTTTAGTGCCCCAAAGGAGAGGACAGCTGGTTTTGTATTAATAGTCTGCAGAGAGTGGCTTCTCTGCAGATTAACTCATTTAGATCTGGCTTGCTTCTGCTTCTGTGGCTTTGTTCTGACGGCAGGCTGGCTCTGTTCGCTTGTTTAAATTACTGCCAAGTGCCAGTTTATTGTGTGTGTTAGAGAAACATACGCCTCAATAGAAATTCATCAATTCAGGGTGAAGTAAACCACTTTTCCAATGACTGAAAATGGCCAAGCTGGTAAGGCTGATACTTCAGTTTCTCAGACACCAATGCAGCTATTTAAGGCTGTATCTCATCTGTGTAGAACACAGTGTTCTAATACAGAGAGACCTTTTCTCTGGAAAGGTAGTTTTGGAATTAAGGACCCAGGCAGCAAGTGTGAAAAGTCATGGTTTATGGCCACATGGTAAAAAATAAAGAGTCAAGTATATCTCTTTCGATCCTAGAAAGCCCTTGGCTGTCCTGGAAAATCCTTACTGAAAGTTACTTGAGTTTGAAACAAAACAAAACAAAAACGAAAATGTACAGCACAAGTAAAACAGAGGCTGAGGAATATGATGAGTTATTTGGTGGAGGTTATTGTTGTATTGTGTGTTTTTGTGCTTGAAGTAACACTGTTGCCAAACCTGGAGCATGCATGTGTGGGTGTGTCTGCTGACTGGCCACAGGCCTGCCGGAATGTTCACCAGCCCACCCTGAACCGGTTCAAAGCAGGCTCAGCGACAGCATTGAGTCTCAGAGAGCTGACACTCCCCGATGGCCCTGGCAGAGACCTGACCTGGAGATTTTGCCTTGTAGGGGTGCTTCCTGCTTTTGCTCTGTACCTAAGGCCCCTATTTCTGGGAGCAAGCCCTTGCAGATCTGACGCC